TTGAACTTATGTTTTATTGACTATGCAAAGGCATTTGTGTGAATCACAGCAAACTGTGGCTAGCTCTGATAAGAATGGGAATCCATGAGCACATGATTGTGCTTATGTGAAATCTATATTTGAACCAGGAGGCAGTTGTTAGAGTAGAGCAAGTAAACACTGCATGGTTTGAAATTGGAAAGGGTGTGCACCAGCAATACATTCTATCTTTTCAATCTGTATGCAAACAGATCATCCCAGAGGCTGGGCTGTATGAGGAGGAATGTGGCATCAGAATTAGAAGAAGACTCATCAACAATCTGCATTATGTAGATAACACAACCCTGCTTGCTGAAACTGAGGAGAGTCTGAAGCACTTGCTGTAGAAGGTCAAGGACTGCAGCCTTCTCTATGGACTGAAGCTCAATATCAAGAAAGTAAAGATTCTCACCACTGAGTTAATTGGCAACATCATGAAAGATGGTGAAGAGATTGAAATTGTTAGCAGCTTCTGCTTGCTAGGCTCCTCAATCAACACTCTTGGTACCAGCAGCCAGGAAATCAAAACATTAATTGCTTTGGGAAAATTTGCTGTCAGGGAAGTCTCCAGAGTACTGAAGAGCAACAATGTCAATCTGGAGACTAAGGTGCACCTAATCCGCCACGGTCTTTGCAATTACTTGCTATGCATTAGAAAGCTGGACAATGACTAGGGATGATAGATAATTGATGTCTTTGAGCTGTGGGGCTGTAAGACAGTATTGAATATACCATGGATTTCTAGAAGAGCATACAGATTCATCCTGGGGAGGTGAAATCAGGCTGTTTCTTAGAGCCAAAGATTCTGAAGCTTCGTCTGACATACTTTGGACATGTTGCAAGGAGGAGCCAGTCCTTGTAGAGGGACATTACACTTGGGATGGTGGGGGAACAGTGCGAAGGAAGACCCTCGATGAGATGGATTAACTCAGTAACTGGGCATGTGGAGGTAGGTGTGTCAGAGACAATAGGTTGACACAGAATAGGGCAGGGTTTAGAGCTGTTTTACTAGGGTAGCTAAGAGTCACAGTGACTCCATCCATGGCACATAACAATAACAACAAATACTGCAATATTCATACCATGTGTTTGAATTGTCCATGGCTGTTACACAGGAGGACAGGGTCGAGTGATTGACAGAGATCATGTGACCAATAAAGTACGTTTACTGTCCTAGCATTTAGAGAGAACATTAGCTGAATCCTGGTCTAGATAAGTACCAGTTTTAATCTGACCTAATGCTTTCTTTCTAGTGTTCTCTCTTTTATCATAGTGTCACTGTTGTCTCTAGGTGATCTGGGCGTAGTTCTGGTCTCTCCTTTCCTGGATGAAAACTGTAGCCAGAAAGAGCTGGGGGAGAGCAGAGGGAGTATGAACAAGGTTTCTTTGCTTTCCCTTCCCAGCCCAAAGGGGATGTGAGAGGAGGAGTGAGAAAAGGGGAGAGAGAGTGCGCCAGACACAGAGATTACCAAGGAGGAGGACCAGTCAGTGATTCTGGTGAAAAGCTAGAGAGTTTATTAAGCAGAGTTGTTGTTGTTAAGTGCCGTTGAGTCGCAGGCGACTCATAGTGACCCTATGAAGGAGAGTCCTCAACCTTGGGTGCCTTTCATCCTCTCTCCAGGTTCATAGGGTTTCCAGAGGCAAGCTATTATGCAAGTGGGTGCCATTCCTCCTTCCAAGCTTGTTTTAATCAGGGAGTTCAACCCCACTCTCTGTCAGCATTGGGTAGCCAACCAAAAACGCATTTGACACATCAGTGTCACAGTGTTCAGCCTCACAGCAACCACAAGTAACCGCTGTATGACAACTTGTACACCAGGGCTATACGACCTAGAGGAATGTCTGAACAAAAATAATGAAAGACAGGATTAAAAGTCACCCACGAGTAGATGAGAGAAAAGGGTCTCAGTCTTTACTGCAAGTAAGTAAACTAGGAATGTGATATGCTTGCATTGTTGCTGAATATTCATCTGTCCATGGGGGATATGAGTAAGGGGTATGAATCACAAAGGTTTTGACCTAATATGTCTGCTGGGTCCTAACAAGGAGTTTCATGTGGTGATTGTAAACTGACAGGTTGCTTATGGGAGGGATTTTTAGTAATAGTAAAGAAAAGTCACTTTGTGGTCTCTTTAGCCTTTTTTTGTCAATGTGCTACCTTAGAAAAGCCCTTGGTTACAAAGTTTATTATCTTATCAGCCAGTCTCTGCTTTCCGCTGTGGCCCAATGGTATTTCTTGGCCAGGGATAAGCAAGTGCTTATGATTATTTTATGCCTTCCCATTTTTGTGGAGTGTTTTGGTCTTTGAATACTTGGTTCTACAAACCATTCCTTGCCTTCTTTTTGTACTCTCAGTTTTTAAAAAATTTTATTTTAATAATTTTAATGAACATTTACAGAGATTTTGGGTTTCCATTCATTCATTGTTGCACTTTTCTCCCTGCACAGCCCTCCCCCCCGACCCCCCTCCTCCAGTTTGCTCCTCTTTGAAAAAGTAAAAGAAAAATTCTTTCTTTGGTATACAATTCCCTTGCACCCCTTCCACGTCCCCGGGTACACTCCACTATGGACCCTTAATTCTGGACTCTTGTGGTAACTATAATACCCTATCATATATCGATTTTCAAATTATTCTCTCCCTCATCTGTTTCAATGCAGTATACATAATTTCTCAGTCTTACCCCAACCCTGATATCAGTCCCATTCTACAACAGTGACACCATGCAGTATTTGTCCTTTTGTGACTGAGATATTTCACTCAGCATAATGTCCTCCAGGGTCACCCATTTTGAATAATATTGCATGCGTTCCTTGTTTTTCAATGCAGCGTAGTATTCCATTGTGTGAATGTACCACATCTTCTCTATCCATTCGTTTGTTTATGGGCATCTGGGTTGTTTCCAACTCCTTGCTATTGTGAACAAAGCTGCAATAAATATGGGTGTGCTTTTATCTGCTTGGATGTCAGTGATGGTCTCTTTGGGGTATATTCCCAGTAGTGGAACTGCTGGTTCAAAAGGTAGCTTCTATTTGTAACTTTTTGAGAGTGTGCCATACCGCTTTCCACAGTGGTTGCACCATTTTATACTCCCACCAACAGTGAGTAAGGGTTCCAGTTTCTCTACAACCTTTCCAGCATTTGTTGCTTGCTGTTCTGTTAAATTTTGCTATTCTGACTGGTACCCTCAGTTTTATAAGGGTATTCAATTTTTTTTTTTTTACCTAATCCTAAAGTAATCCTAACATCACTCCTAATTACATGCACTTTTCTATTTTATTTTTATTACTTGTGTCGTTAAGTTCTTAAATTGTTCTAAACTTTTGGTTTAACTAAAGTGTATGGTGTTATTTTGTACCATCGAGTTGGAAACGACCTATAGCTGACCCTCCAGCCTGTTTTCAGAGACAGTAAATCACAAAGAAGGAGAATATCCACCTCTCTCCTGTGGAGCAGCTGTTGGATTTGAACCACATCTTTGGGATTTCAGTGCAGTTACCAGATATATAATTCTGGCTTGCCTGATATTAACTTTATCAATTTTATCTTTTTAAAGAAATCATTTAGTTGTTGACTATTTTTAGTAAATTTCTTTAGCTCCCTGTTTCTTTAATAACTGCATGAAATCCTTTCAGACAGTGAAAATCTGGACGTACTCCTCTAAGACCCTTCTTCAAACTGACGCTCAGTTACCACGTCTGAGGCTGTACATCCACATCGCCTCACTGCACAAGCCAGCTATGGCGTGAGGAGCCTTCTCAGACATGTGCTTTTCCACTGAGTCTGGGTTCTTCGTGGATGATCTGATATAAAATGTGCACCTCACCGGCTGAGCCCAAAGATGTTCTATATGTTGGCCCAGAACTAGGCCTACTAATACTAATCTCTCAGTCACGGTTTCCAACCATCAAGTATAACCTATGACCACTTACATTAGGGAGAGCAGGGCACATTCCCCCAGTTACATGGTGTTAAAATCTTCTGACCTTGACTGTTTATCTTCGCTGGCAGAGATGCCTGTCTCTAAACATGTATATCCTGCTCATGAGTGCAGAAGTCTGGAGGACCTTACCTAGAGGTAATTCTTCCCAATTTCTACCTTTAATAGATGATTAACTCAGAAATTGTAATAGACAACAGAGATAACAGAAAATAAGACATAGGTTCTCTCCTCAATGACTTTAAAATAAAATAAAAAAATCCAAGTAAAATAACGATTGTAATTCTGTGAAGTATTTGTTGTTGACATTTATTGTGAGATTGGAGAAGGGGGACATTTGGATCACTGAAACCTTCCAGGTGACAGTGACAAGACAGGCCCCCTTGGTCATGACACGCTGTGGAGAGCTCAGCATCGTACCCATCACCCCCAAGCTTTTAGAACCACACACATGGGTACAACTATCCTCTTAGTATTCACCACACCCTGCCGTCCTTGCAGGTCCTGCCATGGACACCAAAAACAAAAGGAAGGCACCCCTTCCCCCAGGCACCACCCCCACTTCTAGAGTTATTTCTATATCCAGACAACCAGGAGGGGATACTACAGTAGGTTAGGCTCAGCCATTTCTTTAGGATCAGACAGGGCAGGGGCAAGGGCCATGTGTGAGCAGTGCCCCTAACACCAGTCACAGGGGTCTCTCAGGAAAAAGCAGGACACTCTGGACTGGCCCTATTGGACAGATTGGAGCCCAGAGAGATTCTCCAGCAGAAGTTACAGGGAAAGGTCGGTCTGGTTGGCTTCTATGCAGGGACAAAAGAGGTCAGGAGGAGGGACACTGCTGAAGGGAAGTGGCATCTGAGGCTTTGAAGGGCCCGAATAGGTGGCCTTAGGATAGAGAAAAGAGGTCAATTAGTCCTTGGTGAAATGAAATAGTGAAAATGAGGGAGAGGAGTAGGTGGTGCTGGGGGTCAGAGCAGGCTGGGTGTTCTCCAGGCAGCAGGCACAGTGCTTCCTCTCTTCCATCTCCTGGATTTACAGACCTTATTTACTGCCCCACACGGCTGGCTTTCCAAAGAGAGGTCGTGGGAGGTACCTGCTGGACTTCATGTAGGCAGCAATCTTATCCAGACGCTGAGGAGGAAAAATTAAGTTTAGAGGCAGGTTTGTTCCCCCTCTATCTAATGAAAACAACTCTCATTTTAAAAAAAATACCTCTCATCTTAAAAAGTACTTCCTTTATGAACACCCTATACTGTTACATGCTTCTTATCTCTGAGTGATTCTAATACTGGACTAAAAAAAAAAAATCCCCAGGTTGTGCTGCAAGAGAGATTCTACTATAGACATTATCAGAAGGGTGACTGAGGCGCACAGAGATTACGCATCTTCCTCCTGCTCCTGGAGTCAGTCTCGGTGCAGGACTTGCATCTACCTGCTGTTTCTCCCCAGTTCTGGCGCCTTCTGTTGGGTTGTCCCTTGCCACCACCACAGAAGGACAGCTTTCTTTCAATAGAACAGAGCAAACGTTCTCTTTTCAAGTAGAAGGCTCCTGGTTGAAAGCCAGTTCCCTGGAGTTTGCACACAGAATGGTGCCTGAGCTGGGAGCTCACGTGTGTAGCTGGCAAGAGGCCCAGATCTCATGGAATGACTAACCTGGACGACATTTCACATGGTAGCTGAAAGTAAAGCCGGGCAGGGCCAGCCTCTAATTACTCCATGTGCAGGAGGGCCCCAGGTTCTCAGCCCAATCTCACTGTGCCTGAAACCACTTCACCTCTAGCTAAGGAGACAAGGACATGTGACACTCAGGTGTGTTTCTAGTCACTTATCACAAGAGAAATAGTGTCTTACAGATTCAAAGACATCTAGATCTTCCAAATCCAATGGGATCCAGTCCCAGCAGACTGCAAGTCGCTGTCCACAGCTGGCTTTCACAATCCCCTCATTTCCTGTGTCCACCCAGTGTATTCAGCTGCCACTAGAGCCAGAAGACGATGAGAACTAGCCATGAAAGCAGATCTCTGGACGGAAAAGGGTGAAGGAACAAGAACGCTGCGCTGACTGCCTCACATTCTCAACTCTCCGTACTCAAGAAGACTAAGTTGCTCCCCACGCAGGTAAACGTGTGTGTTGGCTGATGTGTGAGATGGGGTCCACCTTGTGCTCCCCTCCAAGCAGTTGGCACTGAACGCCCACACACCTGCTGTGGCTGCAGTGACCCCCCACACCGAACTCCTGGAAGGTGGGCCCCATGGCAGGGCCATCTCTGCAGGCCCCCACTCCCAGGCCTGACTCAGTGTCTTAACCACAGTGAACACAGATAGGCTGACATACTAGAGAGAAAACCTTATACAATGGGGAAGGCGAAAGGGCAGAAGAGTGGTGAGACGGTGTTCTACCAGAGAGCACGTGAATGAAACTTTTCCTGGGGACATTCACAGAGCACTCACACCCTAGCACATCTACAGCCCAGGGACATCAGTCCTTGTCCAGACATCGATTACATTGGGGTTAAGTCTACATGTGACCCCGCTGGAAGTAGGAATGCTGTCTGTGTCCTAGGAACATCAATCCTTCCTTGTCTGACTCCTAGACAATCGTCTGCTTAAGCCCACTACATGCTCACTCCTCGAGTTCTGCCACAGTCCCGTTTTCTTGGGCTGTGCAACGCAGGCAGGTAAAGGGCCTGAGCTCTCCTTTTAGGCACAGAAAAATGAGGGCCACTTACGATTGTCCATAGAAACAGACAAGAAGTCCAGCACAGGCAGAGCTGGATCTCTGAACTTGGGTGAATTCCCTACCCTCTTCAATCATCCCATCTGTAAATTGTTATTGTTCTGTGCAGCTGAGTTGGAAATGACTCATAGCTGACCCTCCAGCAGGTTTTTAGAAGGTGCAAATGATATGGGAGGAGACTGCCCACTGTTCTCCTGTGGAGCAGCTAGGGCATACTAACTCTATTCAACTCCTCACCACTAGGCCGCCAGAGCTCTTTAAAAGCAGGATTATGGCTCTATCTATCCTATACTCCTGTTACAAGAATAGAATCTGGCATAATATATTAAAATATTTAACACAGGCCCATGCACAAACCAAAAGCTCCACAAATGGAACTTACTGTTCATTTTAGCTTCCAAACTAGGAAAGCATGAAGGGGAAGAAAGAAGAGGGGGAAAAAACACCAAAAGAACAGGGATCAGGGGCTTCACCTCAAAGCGGGCCATGAAGTCTTTCAGGTTTGGGAAGGCATCCAGGCACTTGGGCTCAAAGATCCGGTTTACATCAAGGACGTCATAAACAAGGAAGTCTGCAAACGTGATCTGTACAAAGTCAAAGATGAGGGAGTGAGAAGTTCCATCATCTGGAAAGAATAACATCTCCATGCCCCTTCCAGCTTTACCTTGTTCGCTGCAAACCATGGCCGCTTCCCCAGATAGTCAGAGTAGAGCTTCAACTTTTCAGGCAGCTCCTTCAGGTACTGTGGCTTCAGCTTCTCCTGGGGTAGAAAACAGCTGTTACTACCTGCAGGCCCAGCGTGCTGCTTAGACTGACCTGTACCACTCCCCACACTACAATTCCATTTTTCCATTTACTCTAACCATCAGTTTCCAGATCTCTACTCTCGACCTCCCAGAGGCATGGGAAGACAGAGAGGTCATCCACAAGGACTTCAATCCATCATCACTGATCTCCATCAACCCACCGACTTGTCACAACAGGTAACTGTAAGCCCTTGGACTTACAGATGTGACAGAACTTACAGCTGGACTCAGAGGTGACAAAACGAGAGCTTAGGGAAAGAAGGGGGAGTTCTGGCTTGCAGGGTGGCATGTGAATGCAGAGGACATTTAAGTAGTTTATCATAGATGAGAAAAATGTAAAATGCTGAAAGGAAGGAGGGCATTCTTGTAGAAACCAAGACAATAAGATAACACCATGTGGCTAATCATTCAGAATCTTGTCCCTACCAAGTGGAAACAATTAGTTAAACATCTTGTTTAGGATCTTAATTTGCACACTAGGGAGTCTAGATTTTAGCCCCAAGTTGGAAGGGACTAATACAGAGTATTTTCCCCCATGAGATTTAAGGATATGCAGGTCACATTGGTAGCAGTATAGGGGACCCTCTGGCAGGATCCGTAGTTTTGAGGAGTTTAGATGTCACACGGAACCACTGTAAATGGGAATGCAAGACCCACTTTAACTTAAGCCCTGACCTGGCCCAGCCCATCCCACACTCACAAAGTCAGGGTTGTAGCACATTAGAGCAAGACTCATACGCGTGTCCATAACCTGGCTTTCCAACATGTCCACTCGAATCTTCTCCTCTTCTGTCTCCCCACCTGGGATTCACAGATCAGACACTCACCCTCAAATGCTCCCTCAGCCTAGTCCAGGGAAGGCCACATGGCTCCCCACATCACCCCACCTGCCCCACCCCACACACTCACACAGGTTGTGCTTGCGAGCGATGTAGCGCAGGATGGCGTTGCTCTGGGTGATCTTGTGAGACCCGTCCACTAAGTAGGGCAGCTGCAGGGAAACCAGGCAGGGCTGTCACACCACCAGCCTCCCCAGCATCCCATTTCTCTAGGGAACCGCAAAGCAGCAACAGCATAATCAGAGCTAGAGTTAAGTTCTAAATAAATATATGCACAGTTCATGCATGCGTGGAACACAGAACATCAATGAAACACAGGGAAGAGAAGTAGGAATGAGAGAGGCAGAAGAGAAGACACCTGATCCTACAACCTCCACAGGAGAGGAGATGGTGGAGAGACTCCCTCACGGCAGCCACACCCAATACCTACATTGGGAAAGTCCAGGCCCAGCTTGAATTTTTCATTCAACCAATGGCTTCTGTCATAGTCAGGGGCTGCAAAGGAACAAACTTCTCAGGATTGCACTTTCCTTCTTCCGAACCATCGCGAGAGTCTTTGCAAGGGCCGCTGACAAGGGTAGTTCTAGAATCTGTAGAACTTCTAAGCCTCAAACTTGGAAGTTTAGGCAAGTCCTAAATTAATATCATTAATAAAGGTGGGGCTGCAATTCCCTCCCAGAATCCTGCACTCCAGCCCAGAGCCTGCAAAGATAAATGGGTCCCTGGAAGGGCAGGTACCAGATTTAGCTGGTGGAGGCCATGTAGTGGTGGACAACAGGTGGCCGGGATACAAGTGTGTTACCAAATCAGCATTAGCTGGCAGAGGGGCCAAAATCTAGGTGCTCTTACCGTCTCCCCATATATACTTCTTTTCTTCATATTTTGAGTCTGTGTATTCCAGAATCAGGCGGATGGCATGAGCCAGCTGGGAGACAGGGTGGAGAGGGTGTCAAGAGTGCAGGGTCCTGATCACCACCTGACTTCACCACAGAGCTTTCACTCCAGAGAGAGTAGGGGGGAAACTCCACAGAGCTCCCTCCTGAAGCCTCTCACTATGCCTCACCCTCCACCCAATTCTGACCAAAACACCTAGCCTGGAAAGAACTAAGTTCCAGTGAAGCTGTAAGAATTTTCTAGATTCCACTTCCCCCGAGTCCCCCACACCCCGCCGAGAGTCCAGCACTCTCCCAACTACTGCACTCCGGTCCCTCTGAAGCAAGCGCTCCACGACGTACTCACCCCGCGGATTTCCCAGTATCCCAGGATCATGACCATGGCGCAAGTTTCTGAGGACTCAGATTGTCACCAGGAAGCTGAAGGAGGAATTTGTCAGGGAGGCCAGGATTTATTAAGGCCTCAGGGTAGAAGCAAGAGACCAATCACACTGGGCTCCACCTCTGCACCCTGCCTCCCGCCCCGTCCCACCCACAGTTTGTGCCTTTGACCCTGAAATCCCTCCGTCTCCGCCTTCTGCCTCTGTTCCGGCATCCTGGTCCAGAGGAAGCAGGGAGTCAAGTCCCTTTCTTCAACCTGTCAGACAGGCTCTGATTTCCCAAGTGTGCAAGCACAGAATCCAAAGGCGCCTGAGCCTGGTTCCCTGATTCCCCTGGTCCCCTCAGCTGCTTCCCCTGCCCACATTCAAGGTTACCCCAAATCCTGAGGAGGATCTCAGTGCATGTGGGGAGAACAGCTGGAAATACAGTAAGGGCTGCGCTCCATTTCTGCCTCTTCCCAGGACTCGACACAATCTCGCTTTTATATCTGGACTTTCAAAGGATTCTGTGATTCAGGCTGTCAAACGTCGGCCACATTGCAACAGCTCTACAGAGAGTTTAAACATGCACCTGCACAGTATGAGGGAGTTCTGGTGGGTGGCAGAACCTGGTAGTTCTAACTCACAGGAGTCTCATCGCAGCAGTTCTAATCCACCAGGCGCTCCACAGGACTATGTCCTCCCAGGAGGTTTACCGCCTTGGAAAATCCATGGAGGATCAGCTATGAATTGGTTCCAACTTCTCAGCAATGAGTTTGCATTGAGTTGTTACGAAAATAAATGAAGGGAACTTAAAAAACAAGTGGTTTATACCCAAAAAGGCAAGGCTGACGCATTACAGAAAAATAAGTTCTTATAATTTGCGATGTAAGAAGAAATACAGTTTTTGCATATAACACAATAGGGTGAACCTCAAAAACATACTGAGTAAAATAAGCCAGACCGGAAAAGAAGGCAAATTTTACCTTTTCCATCTGTATAAAATATGTGTTGGTATTGTCATTGTCATCGACCATAAAATCAAAACTGATTTATAATTCACCCTCCTCTGGGTTCACAGAGGCAGTAAATCGCTAGAGAGGAGATTGCCCGTCTTCAGCTAGTGGATTCGAATCGCCTGCCTTGGATTGGCGTACAACTTCTTGCCACGTGCCACCTGAGTCCCCTGTGGAATATCGGGGTAGACAAGTACACAAAGATGGCATGTAAATGGGTAGTTACCCCGGGCTGGGGCAGCAGTAAGAGCTGCTGCTGAATGGCTGCACACTTTGTATTTTAGTTGACTTTGAAATAAACAAAACAAAAAGCCAAAACAGAGGTTAAACCAACCGATTTTAAAAAATAATGATGATGACTGCACAGCATGTGGGTGTGAAAAAACCACAAGACCAAACCCGGTGCTTTCAAGTCATTTTGACTGAGCAGCTCTCAGTGGCTGTAGGTCTTTAGGAGAGCAGATGACCTACCTTTCTCAGAAGGAGCAGCTGGTGACTTCAAACCACTGACCTTCCAGTTGGCACCACAGTACATAGTGAGCTATACCCTGAGCTCCTTGCAAGATTGATACTTTGTTCTAAAATATGTGCTGTGATTGCTTATTGGTCCATTCTGATTTGACCTTTTGCTGAGAACTTGCATTTCCACCCCAGGTTTACTGAGTCAGAATCTACATTTTTAACTAGATCCTCAGTAAGTTGTGTATATGTAAAAATGAGAATCAAATCACCTGGAGAGCTTGTTAAAATGATGATTCTGTTTCAGTATCTCAGGGATGGAAATACAAATACTCAGCAAAAAGAATTGTAGTGAACTTGTTCTGAAACCTGTTCCTGAACCCAAAATATTTATAAGTAACTTACCTTTCTTATGTTAATGGGGCAGGATTAGTGTATGGGATATTATGCTACTTGTAAGAACATCTGATGGCTTGTTGTTGTTATGTGCCATTGAGTCGCTTGTGACTCATAGTGACCCTATGTACAACAACCCTAAACCCTGCTCTATCCTGTGCCAATCACACTGCCTCTGACACACCCATCCCGATTACCCCAGTCACTGAATCAATCCACCTCATAGAGTGTCTTCCCCTTCTGTGCCATCCCTCCATCCTCCCAAGCATGATGTCCCTCTCCAAGGACCTGTCCCTCCTTACAACATGTCCAAAATATGTCAGACGGAGCCTCAGAATCCTTGCCTCCAGGGAGCCGCCTGGTTTAACCCTTTCCAGGATGAATCTGTTTGTTTTCCTAGCAGTCCATGGTACTCTCAATACACTTCTCTAGAACCACAGCTCAAAGGCATCAATTCTCCTTCTATCCTCCTTGGTCATTATCCAACTCTCTGATGCATAACAAGTGATTGCAAAGACCATGGCCTATATCAGATGCACCTTAGTCTCCAGAGAGACAACATTGCTCTTCAGTACTTTGGAGAGGTCCCTAACATCAGATTTTCCCATGGCAATATGTCTTTTAATTTCCTGGCTATTGGTGCCAAGAGTGTTGACTGTGGAGCCAAGCAAACTAAAGCTGTGAGCAATCTCAATCTCTTCACCATCCATCCTGATGCTGCCAATTGGCCCAGTGGTGAGAATCTTTGTCTTCTTGACATTGAGCCTCAATCCATATTGGAGGCTGCAGTCCTTGACCCTCTGCAGCAAGTGATTCAGGTCCTCCTCAGTTTCAGAAAGCAGAGTTGTCTCATCTGCATAACGCAGATTGTTGATAGATCTTCCACCAGTCTTGAACCCACATTTCTCCTCATAGAGCCCAGCCTCCGGGATAATCTGTTCTGCACGCAGTTTGAAAAGGTATGGAGATAGGACACATCCCTGGCGTACGCCCTTCCCAGTTTTGAACCATGCAGTGTCCCTTTCTGTTCTGTTCTGACTACTGCCTCCTGGTCCAAGTATAGGTTTCGCATTAAGGAAATGTGCTGTCAACCCAAAGGTAGGTGGTTGGACTCCACCAGTGGCTCCATCTGAGAAAGATGGACAATCTTTTCCTAACTGATTTACCGACTCTGCAAACCTACTGCAGGGTCAGATATAATACACAAAAGCAATAAACAAAAAAGGTGCACCTTAGTCTTTAAACTGATATCATTGCTCTTCAAAACTTTGGACAGGCTATGGTAGAAGACTTTCCTAATGGTGCATATCTCCTGATATCTTGAAAGTTGGTACCAATGATGTTGATTGTGAATACAGGTAAGATGAAACTTAGCAATCTCAATCTTGATGTTAGTTTAAAAATTAAGGTGATTCAAACCATGTGCTTTCTGATCACCAGCTGTATCTCTAGAGCTGGCTATGAAGAAAGATTACAGAAGAAGACTTGATGTCTTCTTGACATTGTTGTGATGTTGGAGAAGAGTACTGAACATCATAAACAAACAACCAAAGAATAAACAGATGTCTTAGGGAAGGTGCTTTCAGAGAGCCCCTTAGAGGTAAGGGTGATGATGTTTCATCTCACATACTTTGGGACTGTTGTTAGGAGGGGCTATTCCTTAGAGGGAGACATCATGCCTTGAAAGGTCAGCAGCGAGATGGATTGATACGATGATTGTGGCAATGGACCCAAGGTGTCGGGGATGAGAAGGACGGTGCTGGATAGGACAGAGTTCAGGTCTTCTATTCATGGGGTCACCAAAGCTTGTACTTGACTCGACAGCACCTAACAACAACAAGGGAGCTCTGTGTTAAGATATTGTGCTATCAAACAGCAGGCAGGTGGTTCAAATCCACCAGCTGCTCACGAGAGATAGATGACCATTTAAAGACATTTTATAGCCTCTAAAAATCTGTTGAAGAGTCATAACAACCAAAAGAAGTTGCCAGTGTTAGCAGAAAGGCCACATCTCGCTGGTAGTTTCAGTGCACCAGGGGAAAATGGGCCATCTCCTTCGCTACAATTTACAACCTTATTTGAGTGCAATTCAGTCAACAGTCCTTGGCTGATTGGAAGAGTAATTGTACTTGTCTTGGGGAAAAAAAACACCAGAATGCTCAGACTTCATCTTAAATACTTCAAATATGTTATCAGGAGAGGCCAGGCTGGTAAAAGTTGTAGTTGTTGCTGTTGTTAAGTGCCATCAAGTGGAGTACAACTAATAGTGACCCTGAGAACAACACCTGCAAACACTGCCCTCTCCTGTGCCGTCCTTACTATCTCTGGTACACGTCATCATTGTGCTGCGGCCGCTGCTTCCACCATCTTATTGAGAATCTTCCTTTTACCCTGACCCTCCACCTTTCCAAGCATAGTGTCTTTTTTCAAGGAATTGTTCTTGTTTTTCTATTCTGTCAAGTAGGAATTGACTCCTAGTTGACCCTCCCAATGGGTTTTCAGAGGCTGTAAATACATGGAAGGAGATTGTTCATCCTTCTTCCATGGAACAACCTGTAGTTTCGAGCCATGAGTTTGCAGTGCAGTTCCTTATCACTAGGCCACCAGAGCTCCTTGGCTATTTCCAAGGAATAAGCTCTCTCAAAAGAACAAACAGATACGCCTTGGAGAAGGTGCACCCAGTGTGCTCCTTGGAGGCAAAGATGATGAAATGACATTTTAGAGAGTTCAGGCATGTAGTTAGGAGAGGTTATTCCTTGAAGAGGGACATCCTGCTTGGAAAAGTGGTGGGGCAGCAAAAGAGAAGACCCTCAACGATAAAGATTGACACAGTGATTGAACAGGCTCGAGTGTGTCAGAGATGGTGAGGATGGCAGATGGCACAGAAAAGGGCAAGTTTAGATCAGTTGTTCACAGTGTTGCTATGAGTCATACTCAACTCAACAAAACCCACACCCACCACATGCACAGAGTACATGAGAGGAAGCTTCATCACCCTTGTCTCCAAGGAGCACTCTATTGCACTTTCTCCACATGTTTTAATTCTTCTGGCAACCATGGGGCACTCCTCACTCTTCTTCACCACCATAGCACAAAGGCATTGACCTCTCTTTGGTCGTTCTGTGTTTTAGGGTTAAGAAAAAAAGAAAAAGACC